TCGGGCCGAGTCCGGACTCGCGTGGGCGGGGCCATGTCGGTCTGAGCCGGGCAGAGAGCCGAGCCCGAGCGGAGAGGAGCCGAGCCGGCCGCGAAGACGGCACAACAGACAACAAGAACAACAAGAACAACAACAACAGCAGCAACTAGTATGCAAGGAATTTAGCAAAACTAATCTAAAATTTCGTATGGAAACGAGATGGGTAGATCCAAGCGGCGGTGTGGCGTGGCGTTGGCGCGGGGTCGCGGCTGTCACCTCCCCGGCTCCCCGGGCTTGCTCCTGCAGCCGCCGCCACACCGCCGCCGGCTCAGCTTGGCGCCTCGCTTATTGGCGCGGGTTCAGCCGACTGATTCCGAAGAGCGCTCTCCTATACCTTCCGTATAGCTCCATCCTTGTCGCACTCATGGGGCAGCTCCCCTTGAGCGCTCTTCGGAATCAGTCTGCAGGTTCAACGCCTGCACGCCTATCGCCTTTCTTTTTGTGTCCGCGGGGAGCGAAACACGTCTGCCATGCTTCCTTTTTGCTTCCGGCTGCCTGGAGAGAAGGTGGAAGGGAAGTGGGAAGGGGTAAGGCGGGGCGGGGGAGCCGGAACCTCGGTAGGTCTGTGTAAGCGCTGTTATCCGTACTGCCGCCGCCACCGCCGCCGCTGCTGCTGCCGCTTTTTGGGTATTTCAACAACTGGGATGGCGAGGATAGCGGGGGGACGCGATGGGGGGGTTGGGTGGGTGGGCGGAGTGATTGTGAGAGAAAGGCAAGAGAAAGGAATAGAGAGAGGGCTTTAGAAAGGGAGCGGCGCCAGGACACAGCTGGCTGCTCGGGGGACCCCCGTGCCCAGAGGGACCCCCGAGACCCTTGCCGCCGGTCCTCTGGTGCCGGTGGCGCCGGTGACGGCTGGGCGCCCCCGAAGAAAGGCGTCACCGGAGCAGCGCGACCCCGTGACGGTCATAGGGACACCCAACTACGACGTGCCGTTCCGTCCGGTTGCCTCTGATTACCTCTGGTTACCGACTATTACACCTCTCTAGTTACCCCGCAGATTACCCGTTCCGCTTTTCACCAAGTGTTTACTTCTGGCTGGTTATTCGGGACGGTTACTTCAGGCGGAAGATCACGCGCCAGCAGCCTCCCCGTCGCGTCGGGCGGCAGCCAGTGGACCGCGACATCGCCTTGGGTCGTATTACAACCTCGGGCGACTTATCGAGGGGATTTATTTCCTCTTCTCTGGGCGAATTTATTTATATTTTTCTTTTCTTTCATATTTCGCGGCTGGTTGCGAGTTTGAGAAACGATACCCGCTCCGCCGCCGCCGCCGCCGCCGCCGCCGCCGCCGCCGCCACGGTTTCGCAGGCCGTGCCGTGCCGAAAAAGAGGGAGCTAATTGAAGGGAACACCCCGCTCAGCGCGCGCATCCAACAAATCACGCGGGAGCCCCATTTAAATGCAAATTTAATCCGCGGATAAGAGGCGGATTGAGACCGCCGCTGCCGGCCGGCCGGCCGGCCTCCGCTGCTGCGGCAGTAACGCACGGGGCCGAGCGAGCGGAGCGGATCGGTGGTGTGATGAAACCAATCGATTTGCCAGCCAAAGAGTCGCGGAGAATCGGATTGTGTCTCGGCGCGGAGATTTATTTGACTTGCCTCTCGTCGTCTGATGCGCGTACCTCCCGCCGCGCGTAACAACCCGCCGCCGCCGCCGGCTCACTGCGAGTACACTGCGCGGAAGCAATCCCGGAGCACTTTACCAAACGGTTCAGCGAGCAGCAGCGCACCCCCTCTCCTCCTCCTCCTCCTGGATGAATGACGGGCTTTGTTTTTCGGTGAGAGGCCCGCGCGTTCGCCACCCCGCCGTGCCGCCACCCCGCCCGAGCCTCTCCAACAGGAGTCGATAAGGAACCAAAAGCCTCCACCTGCTGTCTGGCAAGTTATAAAGCAGGTTGCTGCCGAGCTCTGGTCTGGATCGCGCGCGCGCGCAAACTTTTCTTTTTAATGAAGAGTTTGCCGTTGTTGTTGATGATGATGATAATGTTGTTGGGGTGGCGGTGCGGAGGTAATGAGTGAAGTCTGTCACGGGCGGTGTGAATTGAATTACTTAGCACTTGCCTCGCCTTCCTCCTCTGCTCCCCCTGTCCTCGTCCTCTTCCTTCACCTCCTCCTCCTCGCTCTATCTCTTCTTCCTCCTCTCGCGTCACTCACAGTGGGCGTATGTGCTACGCCTCCAGGAACGTTAGAGTATAGGAAGAACAGATAAGCGCCCAGAAAACTGGTGGTGCGAAACATGGCAATGAAGTTCCACAGTGCCGCAGGGAGCCAGATTAAAACTACATGCCGTTTTCTGGGGATCCGACGGAAATTACTGATAGTGGGCCTAATTGTTGCGCATCACTCTGCTGACTAGAAATAGAAACTCTGAGGGTGGAAACCTCGGTGGGAAACTCTAAAATGGTCACAACACACGACAGTCCTAGACTTGCAGAGTGAAACAAGCGTCACCGCCTGGGAGGTAGGCAGCATGCGAGCACCGGTGCTCGGCAAGCCACAGGGTTGCCTATCCACAGGGGCTCCAACCCACCGCCTGGGTGATAGGCAGCTCGCGAGCACCGGTGCTCGGCAAGCCACAAAGTTGCCTATTCACAGGGGCTTCACTTGCCACCTTTTAATGTTGGATCACTGATGGGATAGGGATAGGCGGTCCGCCTAGCAATTCAACCTCATGTTCGCTCGGCGAGTAAACTATCATCGTCGTCCTCATATCCCTTACTGGGTCTGCCTGCAAATTGAGGCTGCCTAACTAACAACCCCCCTCTCCCCCAACCCCCCTAAATTGCTACCCCTTCCTGCCCCGCCCCCTACCCTACACTGCCTAATTGATTTTTAGAGGTCGTTCCTTGCTGTGCTGCAAATAGGAGGGGGCGGAAACAGAATACGTAGCACAACTCCAACTCCCATCCCTTTCATTATTTCATTTTTTACCCATAAGGAGTAGGTTCAGTTTATTCATGAGAGTTAAGTTTGCTGAGACTATGCTTTCCTAATTATTTTTTTGTGATGTGCCCCCTCCCCCTCCCCTCTCCTTATTCCTTTGCAACGAAGTCAGAACCGCGCACCCTTAAATTTAAATTTCATGGAGGGCAGGAGGAGGCGGGGATTTCTTCTCCACCCCTTTTTACCCCCTTTTCTTATCGCCGAGGTAAGATGGAGGAAGGAGGCCGAGGGATGGCATGGCGCGAGGGTTCAGCTATCTCGTGCATTTTTGTCCGTTCCCTCCCCACGCCGCGCCCGCTGGCCGGCCGGCCTCCTGGGACCCCTCGGCCGGGCATTCGGATAGACACGACATCACAACATTCCGAAGAAAAGGGATTTTCTGATTTTTCCCCCTCTCCTTTTCGTCATCAAGGGCAGCGCGACCGCCCTTTGGAGCAGGCAGTAGAAGCGTGCGGCTTGGCGCGGCGGGGCGCGTG